ACACCACATTCTTCTTCATATAGTTCTTCACACATTATTTGGTCAGCAAATAGATTGAATAAGAAAGGTGAAAGCATGCAACCCTGATGCAGTCCCTTCCTGATTTTAAACCATGCAGTTTCAGCTTGCTCTGTTCGAATAACTGCCTCTTGGTCTATGGACAGGTTCCTCACAAGCACAATTACATGTTCTAGAACCCCCATTCTTTGTAATGTTATCCATAATTTGTCATGATCCATACAGTTGAATGTATTTACATAGCCAATAAAACACAGGCAGACATCTTCCTGGTATTCTTTGCTTTCAGCCAAGATGCATCTGACATCAGCCATGATATCTCTTGTTCCACGTCCTCTTCTGAATCCAGTTTGCATTTCCGGAAGTTCCCTGTCAATACACTACTGCAACTGTTTTTTAATTATCTTCAGCAAAATTTTACTGGCTTGTGATATTATTGATACTATTTGATAATTGGCACTCTGTGGGGTCACTTTTCTTTGGAATGGGTACAAATGTGGATGATCTCTTCCAGTTGGTTGACCAGGCAGTTGTCTTCTAATTTCTTGGCATAATTGAGTAACTTACTTCCAATGCTGCATCCGTTTGTTGAAACATCTTGATGGGTATTCCATCAACTCTTGGAGCCTTGTTTTTCACCACTTCCTTCAGTGCGGCTTTGACTTCTTCCTTCAATACCATCAGTTGTTGATCATGTGCCACCTCCTGAAATGGATGAACATTGACTAGTTCTTTCTTGTACAGTGACTCTGTGTATTCCTTCCATCTTCTTTTGATGTTTCCTGCATCATTCAACATTTTGCCCATAGAATCCTTCAGTATTGCAACTTGAGGCTTGAATTTTTTCTTCAGTTCTTTCAACTTGAGAAATGCCAAGTGTGTTCTTCCCTTTTGGTTTTCAAACTCCAGGTCTTTACACATTTCATTATAATACTTTGTCTTCTCAAGCTGTTCTTTGAAATCTTCTGTTCAGCTCTTTCATCTTGTCATTTCTTCCATTTGCTTTAGCTACTCTCCATTTAGGGAGCTCTGGTAGCATAGTGCCTAAGGCACTTAACTGCTAACCAGAAGGCTGGCGGTTCAAACCCACCAGCCACTCCTTGGAAGGAAGGTTGGGCAATCTACTTCCATAGTGATACCGCCTCAGAAACCCAAGGAGGGGTCGCTGTGAGTCCGGTCCAACTCCACGGCACATAACAACAACAACAACACTCTCCATTTAAGGCAAGTTTCAGAATCTCTTCTGACATCCTTTTTTTTTTCCCTGTCATTTCAATGACCTTTTGCTTTCTTCATGTATAATGTTCTTGATGTCATCCCACAGTTCATCTGGTTTTTGGTCATTGGTGTTGATGCATCAAATCTATCCTTCGGATGGTCTCTAAATTCAGGTGGGATATAATCAAGGTTGTATTTTGGCTCTCATGGACTTGTTTTCATTTTCTTCTGCTTCAACTTGAACTTGCAAGTGAGCACTTGATTGTCTGTTCCACAGTCAGCTCCTGGCCTTGCTTTGACTAAAGATATTGAGCTTCACCATCACCTCTTTCCAATGTAGTTTGTCTAATTCCTGTGTATTCCATCTGGTGAAGTCCACGTGTATAGTCACCATTTATGCTGTTGAAAACAGGTATTTGCAATGAATAAGTCTTGCAAAATTCTACCATGGGATTTCTCTCTTTATTTTATTTTATTTTATTTTGATTTGGGTGAAGATTTACAGAGTAAATTCACTTTTCATACAGCAGTTCACATATACTTTGTCTCATGTCATTGACCAAAATTTACAATGCAAGAGCTCCCCTCCCACTTCCTCCCCATAGTTACCTCTTCCCAGTGTCCATCCCTCCATACTCTTCTGTGCCCTGAGCTGTCTCCCTGTGCATAAGCAGCCCTTCCTTCTCCCATCTACCATGGAATTTCCAGTGTCATATTTTTACCAAGGCAATATTTTCCAACCACTGATGGTTCTTCCTTGTTTCCAACTTTCACATTGCAATCACCAGGAATAATAGATACGTCTTGATTGCCTGTTTGGTCAATTTCAGGCTGCAGGAGCTGGTGAACGTCTTTCATTTCCTCCTTGTTGGCTTAGTGGACTCCCTGGGGTGCAGACTGTACACGTGCTTGGCTGCTAACCAACAGGTTGGAGGTTTGAGTCTGCCCAGAGGTACCTTGGGTCTATTTGCTGAAAGTCACCCATTGATGACCCTGTGACCCATTGTGCCCACATATGCTCCTATGACACACATGTGGGCACGGTGAGTCCCAGTCAACTCAACAGCAACAGGTTGGCACACCTACTCCTCGCTTCTCCACTATCTTCTCATCCGACATTTCACATTTACTGCCATAGGAAACATCTACCATCTGACTATTATGCACATTAATGGTGTGCGTCTGGCAGTAATGGATGCTCAGGTGCCCGGTGAGAGTAACACTGGTCATGATGGTTAAGGTTGTGTCCACTTGACTGGGCCATGGTTCTCGTGCTTTGGCAGTTGAGTACTGATGTAATGTGGCAGTTGTGTTATGATGTCATCCTCCTTTTGTGATCTGATGTAGTCATCCTCTAGTCTTGCACAATGTCAATTTTCACATAACAGCCTGGTTTTTGGAACATCACCATGACAACAATGAGGACTGGGTGGACTAGTCCCTAGATGCCAAGCATCTGCAAGGTCTATCCCCAACTATTTCTTTTTTTTAACATTGACTCTGGCAGCAACTTCTGGCCCAGGACCTAAACTCCAACAGCAGCTATTTCCTTGAAGTAGATAGGAACATCCATTGCCCTCATCAAAGACAAGACCCAATTACCAAAATGGGCCTCTGAAACCCACGTCTTTCTTGCACCTCAGTGGTTCTCTCTCCCACTTGACAGGGATGGAGCCACCCTTGCACCAGCCAAGAAGAACCCTCCCATTGGTGTGAACCTTAAATGGAAGGAACAATCTGTGGCTTCAGGGAAATCTGGAATCTTGAGCACAACCCAAATGCTGCAAAGCCTTATTTCCAGCAAAGTCACATTTCATCAGGCGTTTATTTCCAGCAACAGAGACAGAAGGTGCCCGTTTTACGCAGACAACTGGGGCGGTGTTATCCGTGTTAGGATAAACGGGGCTCCTGCATGCTAATGTGTCTCTAATCTTTGTCTCTGGAGCACATACTGGGCTCCTGGCTGCCAGGACGGCAAGTGTGTTCAGCAAATCATTTTAATGTAAGAGTTGAAAGAAGCTTCTGAAGAGAAGGTTATGGCTGAGGTTGATGAGATGTTCTTGCTCTGCTGTGGGTGTAATTTGGGGACTCTGAGTGGGAAGGCGGAGGCGGGGTTTATCACCACTTCCCATCCCCCTGGTTCCATGAAGCTTGGCGGCAGTGTGTGCCTGGTAATCACAGCCACTCAGCCTGGTCTATCCTTTTACCAGCTCACAGGGGTTCATCTCATCTACCCTGTGACAGTAGCAGGGCAGAGTGTGTCCGTACATAGTGAGAGGAAGCCATGGTGGCTCCACAGCTACTAACTGAAAGGCTGGTGGTTTGAACCCACTAGCTTCTCCACAGGACAAAAGAACTGGCAATCTGCTTCTATAAAGATGACAGCCTAGGGTACCCAATGGGGCAGTTCTTCTCTGTCACAGGGGGTCACGATGGGTCATCATCAACCGGATGGCACACAACAACAGCATGTCTATGTAGAGAGGATTCTTGTAAAGATGTGCACACAACAACTGTTACTTTAATAAGAACCCTTGCACATAAGTTAAAGAGCCAAGTAATTCTATAAAAGAAACTTCATATTCCTGTTGTTGGCCACTGTTAAGCTGGGCCTGACTCATGGTATCCCATGTACAATAGTACAAGGTCACTGTGGTCCACAGGGTTGTCACAGAATCCCATGCACAATGGTACAGGGCCACTGTGATCCATGAGGGTGTCATGGGTTGATTTTCAGAAGTCAGCACAAGGCCTTTCTTCCTCATCTTAGTGTTGAAATTCCTCTGAAACCTGTCCACCATGGGTGACCCAGTGGGTGTCTGAAATAGCAGCAGCACAGCTTTCTGCCAACAACATGCAAACCTGCGATGGTATAAACTGGCAGACAGGTTGCGGACAGCAGCCACTAATGTTTATCAAGTGCGTCTTACATGCCTGATGCTCTGCTCATCTCTTTCCATGTGTTAGTTCATTTCATCATCATATCTTTGTCATGAGGGGTTAGTATTCTTCTCTTTTGAAAGAGGACACTGAGCACAGAGGGGTTATATGACAGACTCAAAGTCACACAGCCAGAAAGTGGTAGAGCCTCAGCCAGGGCTTCCCAAGCTCAGTGCTCCTGGCGCACTGGACCGGAAACCCTTTTGTGATGGGCACTGGCCTGTGTGTCACAGGGTGTTTGGCAGCATCCCTGGCCTTGACCACTGGATGCCACCCCAAGTCAGGGCCATCAAAAATGTCTCCAGAGAGATCAAATTGACAGCAGCACCTGGAAGGGTTAGGTAGCAACCTTCAGGCCCAGTGAGTTCACAAGGAGGATGACTTGGAAAAGGAGGGTAAGGGTGGTTGCCCAACTTGAAGAATGCCATCAGTGCATGTGTGGAAACTGTTGGGTTCATGTGTTTGTCAGGTAAAAAGTGTGTCCAGACCATGCCACACGTCCCCTGGGGGCACAGCTGACCCGGCTCAGCAGCAGGTACCCAGCAGGGCTAGTCTGGGCTCTTGACTCTGCTACACTGCTTCCCAGTTTAATGGGTGTCCTGCCTCTTGCCCTGAGAACTGGACAGGAAGGCCCATGATGCTCAGGTCTGTGACAGACACCCCTCCTCCTCCCACTCTGCCCTGATGTTAATGTCCTCTGATATCCCTGTCATCTGTGCCACCAGGCATGAAAACAGTGGGAAGGCACAGCATGGTGGCACGGGCCCTTGGGGACAGTGACGTCTTTAACACCACGGCCCTCTCTCACCCTCTTGTCCCCACAGAGCCAAGGTGAAGAAAGGTGTCAACATCCTGAACACGCAGACCAGTGAGCCTCAACAGTGGGCCTCCACGCAGGAAACAGGCAATGGAGGCAAGCATGCCACAACCACCGTGGTGTGTCAGCGCTTGGGGCCAGGGCCGTACAACAGGTAAGGAGGCTGCCAGCTCCCCAGTCCCCATGACTCAGCCGCTGCCTAAGAGGCTCCTTGTGGACACACGTTAACCACCGTGTGGTGCAGCCCTGACACCCACATCAGAAATCCTGAGGCACTGCCACCACGTCCCATCCCATGCTCTGCCTGGGCTGGCGCAGGGTGCAAGGCTGCAGTGCCATGGTTGGGTTGAGACAGACTGGGTTGGGAGTGGCCTCATTGGCTCTGCAAGGACTCATGCGTCCTCTCCACTAGACTCATTCACCATACCCCCTGCATTATCCAGACTGCTCTGTTGCTGTGCTCAGCCTTAGCACAGTGGGTTATATTTAGTCTCCAGTGAGAGACATCTAAAGATGGGTGACTGATACCAAAACGAGGCAAACACACCACTAAAAAAGAAAATTACAGACCAATATCCCTCATGAACATTGATGCAAAAATCCTAGCCAATAGGCTCCAACTATATATCAAAAAAATATATATCATAAACAAGTGGGATTCATACCAGGTATGCAAGGATGGTTCAATGTTAGAAATAATCAATGTAACCCCATAAATAAAACTAAAGAAAGGAACCACATGATCATATCCATTGATGCAGAAAACACATTTGACAAAATCTAATATCTATTCTTGATTAAAATAATAATAATAATAATAATGCTCAGCAAAATAGGAATGGCAGGAAATTCCTCAGCATAATTAAGGGCATATACATGAGATCAATGGCCAGTAGTATTCTCAAGGGAGAGAGAATGAAAACATTCCCTTTGTGAACGGGAACCAGATAAGGATGCCCTTTATCACCCCTCTTGCTCAATAATGTATTGGAGGTGTTAGCAAGAGCCATCAGGCAAGAAAGGGAAATAAAAGGCATCCAAATTGGCAAAGAATCTCTGTCTGTAGATGATATGACCCTATATAGAGAAAATCCTAGAGACTCAATAAGACAACCACTGGGACTAACAAAAAGATTCAACAGAGAGGCAGGATGCAAAATCAACATACAAAAGTCAGTCAGATTCCTCTATGCTAACAGAAAGAACACTGAAAAGGAGGTCAGGAAAACTACCATTTACAGTAACCACTCAAAAGGTGAGATACTTTGGAATACACTTAACCGGAGACACACAAGACCTACACAAAGAGAACTATAAAATGCTACTCCAAGAAACTAAGAGAGACCTACATAAATGGAAGAATATACCATGTTCATGGACAGGAAGTGACAGTACTACCCAAAACAATCTACAGATACAATGCAATCCCAATCCAGATTCCATCATCATTCTTTAAAGAGATGGAAAAACTAATTACCAACATTATGTGGAAAGAAAAGAGACCCTGGATAAGTAAAACACCACTAAAGAAGAAGAAGAAAGTAGGTGGCCTCATACTCCCCAATCTCAAAGCCTGCTCTACAGCTACTGTACCTGGCACTGGTACAACGACAGACATACAGACCAGCGGAACAGAATCGAGAACCCAGAAATAAATCCATCCACCTGTGGACAGCTGATCTTTGATGAAGTACTGAAACCCATTAAATGAGGAAGAGATATTCTCTTTAACAAAATGGTGCTAGCAAAACTGGATATCCATTTGCAGAAAAATGAAACAGGATCCGTATTTTTACACCATATACAAAAATAAACTCAAGATGGATGAAAGAGCTAAATATAAAACTCCAAACCATAAAGACCGTCAAAGAAAAAATAAGAGCAAACTTAGGAGCCCTAAAACACAGCATGAATACACTATCAGACATAACTAAAAACACAGAAACAGCAGAAGACAAACTAGTCAACTGGGACCTCCAAAAAATTAAACATTTTTGTGCATCAAAAGACTGAGTCAAAAGAGTCAAAAGAGAACCTGCAGAGTGGGAAGAAATTTTTGCAACAATGTATCAGACAAAGGACTAATCTCTAAAATTTATAGAAAATTTCAACACCTCAACAACAACAAAAAGACAAGCAATCCAGTTAAAAATGGGCAGAGACATGGGCAGACACCTCACCAAAGAAGACACCTAACAGACACAGGGAGAAATGCTCACGATCATTAGCCGTTAGAGAGATGCAAATCAAAACCACACTGAGACATCATCTCACCCCAGCACTAATCGCAAAGTTCAAAAAAAAAAAAAAAAACAGAAAACCACAAATAGCAAGGTGTGGAGAGACTGGGACCCTCACACTGCTAGTGGGACTGTAAAATGGAACAGCCACTTTGGAAAGCAGTATGACACTTCCTTCCAAAAAACCAAACTCACTGCCATCAAGTCAATTCCAACTCATAGCGACCCCCTTTGGGTTTCTGAGGCAGTAAAGCTTTACAGAAGTAGATTACCTAACCTTCCTTCTGAGGAGTGGCTGGTGGGTTTGAACCACCAACCTTCTGGTTAGCAGTCAAATGTCTTAGGCACTATGCCACCAGAGCTCCTTATGACACTTCTTTAAGAAGTTGGAAATAGAAATACCTTATGATCCAGCAGTCCCACTAATAAGTGTGCATCCTCCAGAAATAAGAACGTGACACAAACAGAGATGTGCACACCCATGTTCATCGCAGCACTATCCACAATAGCAAAGACATGGAAACAACCCAAGTGCCCATCAGTGGATGAATGGATAAACAAATTGTGATCCATACACACAGCGGTTACCACCCCAGGAAAGAACAGTGGTGAACCTGCAAAATACCTCGTAACGTGGATGAACCGAGAGGAAACTAAGTGAAATTAGTTAATCACAAAAAGTCAAATATTTTATGAGACACTGTTGTAACATGTCAAGGGCCTGGTATTGAACTCCTGGGGCTTACCTCTCAGCCAAACAATAGACAGTATGTATGGCCCCTAGGCACCCTTTGAGCCTGGAATCGAACTCACTCTCGTGGCTTCCAGCCAAGTAATAGACAGGCCTACAAGGGGAAGAGTGGCAGCAGGGAGGTGCACTCCTTACATCAAGGGTAGCACTTGCACAGGGAGAAAGCTCAAGCCAGGAGAGTATGGGTAAGAGGGACACAGGAAAAGGGGAGCCGACCACAGCAGACATGAGAAGAGAGCTGTTACACTGTGAGGACTGTAACCAGTGTCACTAAACAAAGCACGTATGAACTGTTGAACGTAAAACGAATCTGCTTTGAAAGATGGAAGCAGACACTTCACCAAACAAGATATTCAGGCAGCCAACAAACACAAAAAGAAATGTTCACGATCATTAACATTAAACAAAAACCAAACTCACTGCCATTAAGTTGATTCCAACTCATAGCGATCCCCTTTGGGTTTCTGGGCAGTAAATCTTTACAAAAGTAGATTGCCCAGTTTTCCTTCTGAGGAGTGGCTGGCGAGATTGAACCACTACCCTGCTGGTTAGCAGTCAAACACATTAGGCACTACACCACTAGAGCTCCTTATCAAAACAACCATGAGATGCCATCTCACCCCAGCATTGATAGCAAAGTTCAACAAGACAGAAAATAACAATGCTGGCAAGGATGTGGAGAGATAGGGACTCTCATGCACTGCTGGTGGGACAGTCAAATGATACAACCACTGGGGAAATCAGTATGGTGATTCCTTAAAAAGGTGGAAATAGAACTATCATTTGACCAGCAATTATTAGATATATATATCCTAAAGAAGTGAGAGCCCGGACAAGAACAGATATGTGTACACCCATTTTCATTGCAGCACTGCTCACAACAGCAAAGAGATGGAAAACAGTGAAATAAGTCAGTCACAGAAGGACTGATATTGTATTAGTCCACTGTTGTAAAAAGTCGAGGAAACATTTATACATAGAAGGAAACTCTCTTTGTTGGTTACCAGGGATGGGAGGGGAGGACAGGCTAAATTCCTAGATAGGTTACATATACACACCAAAGATTATTGACGGTTACCAGGGCAGGAGGGAGGGGGAAGGGAAAGCGTCTGTTTGGGGGGCACTGACTTTATGCTGACGGTGGTGGGATATTTTGGAAAAGGACAGCAATAATGGTGACAACATGAAAATTGTCATCAATGTCCCTGAGCTGTGAATGGGGACGTTGTTATATTGGTGGATGTCTTGTGTGTATGTTTTCAGCACAATTAAAAAAAAAAAAAAAAAGAATCCGCTGCTTTGTAAACTTTCACCCAAATCACAATAAAATGCTAAATAAATAAAAAGAGAATCGCCTGGGACCTTGTTGAAGAGTAGGTCCCGATGCAGTCTGTCTGGGGAGGGGAGGCAGATTCTCAGGGGCGCTGTGTGGCACTGACCCCTTTGGAAGCCCGGGTAGAAAGAACAATGGTTGGCAGGGGTTTGGGCAATGCAGTGGCTAAGTTTGTGGGTCAACTTGGCTGGGCCTGGTTGAGTGGCTGGGCAGCTAAATGTAGTTATTCCCCACGGTGAGATTGGTAATTAACTCCATGGTGGAATCTATGGGAGCAGTGGAGTGGTTGCTTTGGGTATGTGGTCTGCTTCCCGTATATAAGAAACAGCTTTGGGAATGGTCTCTGGCTTAAGGCACCTTGGACCCTGCATGTAGCCGTGTCACCGTTCAGCAGCCTGCCATGCTCTGCCGACCTTGGGACTTAAATGGACTTGAATTAATGGCCTGCCGTGTGGATTGGTAACATCGGGACTGTGCCATTTTATTTCTCAACCTTGGGCTTGTTAACCTCAGTAGCCAGTAGCTGCCTGGGTGAAGACATGCCTCTAGCTCCAGTGGACCCAAGGTCAAGGGGCTTTCACCCAGCCCCCAGAGCCTGGCACTTTGAACTCAGACTTAAAGCCTCCAAACCGTAAGAAAATAAACTACTGTTTGCTGAAGCCTCCCATTTGTGGTATATTCTCGTCAGAGCAGCTCTGGGAACCAGGACAGGTGGGGAGGGCATGAGCGGGTGAGGCACAGGGTGTTTTCAGGGCA